GATTTTCTATTTTACATCCGAGTTCGATAATCTTGATTAAATGCTTTTTTTGCAGACAGCGGTGCCTCCGGATTTCTACCTCATCTGCAAGCACCGCGACATGGTCACAGCCGAAGGAAAATAAAGATGGGGAATGTTAGCATTTTTACTTCCCACTGAAGGAGAAACGCTTTTTGTTCTTCTAATGAGTTTTTTTGATTTTTCATTTCTTGAAACTTGGATTGTTCCTCCAGTTGCAGATCTTTGTGACCCTCCCTAGTATTTTTGTATTCCAATAAGACAAATTAACATTCCCTTTTTTCGAATCTTTGTCCCTTTCGTCACAAAAAGTCAAATCATCGATCTTTGAATCTGTTAACCTTGTGCTAATTTTTAACACTTTTTCAATGTTACTCAGAAATTTTGAACCCATTCAATTTTTTGATGAAAAATTCTTGTTGTATAGCTGATTATTTTATTATTGTATTTTTTTGATATATGTCTATTGTATTGAGGAATGAAAATGATTTTTATTCTTTTTCGAAAAAAACACAGAAAAAAATAGACAAGGTAAAGCCGGAAAAACGAAGAAGGCCAAGATTTAGTTTCAGTGGCTGGTGGTAAAAACCTTTTTCCAACTTTTTCCCTCATTTTTTTCGGTTTTTGAAAGACCCTCAACTATTTTTCCTACTGATTTGTATTTTAAACATGAATCAAACTACTTATTTTGTGTACAAGGAAGACATAAAACTAAGTGTTTATGAAGATCCGAAAAGGACAAGTCGGAACCTTCGCCGTCGGAAAGTTCCTTAGAGATGCAAAAATCGGAAAAGTCGCCGTTCTAAACTTTGCTGGTTTTCACTTCACACCTTCTTTTTCATGAGGTACGATTGCTAACGGTTCAAAAAAACACATACCATCTATACCTCCACAGCAGGAAAATCCACCGCTTTTCTCAATGTCTTCTTTTCCAACCGCTAATTGGAGAGCTATGAAATTCTTTCCATCTTTTCATGCTTTAGGTTTTGCCGTGCATCCTGATTTTACACTTGTTAACGTTCATAACTTTATTTCAAAATGTTCTGACTTTCTCCTTGTGGTTTGGAATACATCTTCACTCTTCAGAAACATCTTTGACTTCAGCGCCTGAAAATGAAGTTGAATGAGAAATCAGGTTTTGAAATCAGAAAAAAAAGAAGATGTACTAAAAAGTGATTGACAAAAATCGCATCGGCTGAATTTGTCAGACATCAATATCTTTTTAATTTTTGATTTTCGAAAGTTTTATGAACGCTTAACGACGTATCAAAAATTTTTGATTCTTCTAGCATTTATGTGCTTTTGCGGTGAAGCTTTCTAAAAAAAATCCCTAAACGAAAATTTGACCAATTCCAAATACGCTCACCTTCTCCGGCCGTGAAGCTCTTGAAAGCGTTGCAAGCCTTCGTTTCAGCTGCTTCTGCTGGGACCGGCGAACTGGTCGACTTTGAAGACAGTTCAGCACTTTCTGTAAAACATTGCTAAAAGATTAATTTAAAAGAAGAATAATTTTGTTGGGCGCGCCGTAGCGCAACAGGTTGTGAGCCTGTCTACGGTCCACAGGGTCACAAGTTCGATCTCCGCCCCGACCCAACCAAGGGGTTTGAGAAATGTTGGTAGTGGGAAACCAAGACTTCAAAACCCCCAGCAGTCTCATACAAGGACGGATATGTCACTGGAGCCAGTCCACTGATATCAGGATAGGACCTCGGCTAATCGACTTGGGGCGCCGACGCCGCTCAAGCGGTACAAAGGCGTAAGAAGAAGAAGAAGAATCATTGTTTTAGGAAAAATCAAGTTTTTAGGGTTTAGTTAAAGTCGAAAATGCCAAAAAGTGTCACAAGAGAACTTTTAGAAAGATTTCCTTTTGAAGTATGCGATGTTGCTTTTCTTCCTCCCTAGACTTTCGAAAACTTGAAAAGGTTGAAAAAAAAAGTCAGCGAAAAAAAATGATATAGGTTGATGAGGACGGGAAAAGGACGAAACTTTTTCTAGCTTTCAAGATTGATCGAAAAGAGCCGTTTTCTTCAAATAACCCATTTTTTTATCAGCGGGAAAGATACCTGTTTGTTCGGAATTGCAGTGGAGCTTCGAGGAAGGACCTGAAATTTTCGGTGATTGTTATCTGAAACCAAATACCCTATTCGCAATTTCTTGAAACGGTCTGGTCTGTCTACACACGTTCGTGGAAATACAAAAAAATGTACGCAAAAA